TTATATGTATTTGTCACTTCCCCCGTTCCTCATGAAAAATGTGAAACTAATGAAATGGAGAAGTGTATCTTTATTGTATTCTCCATTCACACTTGTATTTTTAGGTTGTTATTTTTCTTAATATCACCTATCATCTTGTAGAGTTTGTCTAGTCAAAGGTTTAATTAGTGTCTTTTTCTAGAATACACCTTCTAGCATTTTCAGATGTTCATGCAGGACAACAGTGATAATAGGTAAAAATTACAAAAAATAGTAGAATGGTCAACCAGAGGACAAACACTTATGAAGGGAGTAGTGGTGTTTAAAAAAAAAAAAAAGTTCAAACCCCAATCCCTTAACTGACTTGAAAATGCCAAGAATATCAAAAGCGTAGAATAGAGAAAACTCCTTCCTGTTCTCAATCACTCTTGGCTCTATTTCCTGCTTCCTTCTTAATGTAGAACATAGATTACAGAATGCATTACCATTAAAACATTAAGCAGTTGGTCCATGATTTCATCAGGAGCACTCTGTAATTATATGTAAATCAACTATCCATTTAAATTTATCAAAAAGCATTTGTCAGTCCTAGAAGTTACAGAATCTCTCTTATTACAACCTGTGCTAATGTTCTATTACTTTTTTTTCCTCCCTTTGAACTTATATTTGGGAATAACTAGCTTGGTGACAGTAATTGCAGCTACAAGCTGTATTTCTTTCTGGATTTCACTAATCTGCATTTGCATAAGAAGAATGAAAAATGAGAGATCCTCTAATGTCTAATACATTTTTGTTGATGTTACTTTCTTTGTCGTCATATATTCTAAATGTGTTTAAGTCTCAAAATTGTTTTGCAATGGAAATACAGTGTCCCACACTAAAAGCCAATGTATAATTAAGAAAGCAAAGAATAAAAGATGTGAACCAAGACAGTATATTTTTGGGAAATTACCAAAATTTGCACAAAATCAAAAATGTTGCCAGACTATTATATTTACAGAAGCAGATTGATACTTCCCTTAAAATGTAAGAAACTCTTTCTAATGATCCTTAATGATCTGATGCTTATCCAGTATGCAGGACACACTCTTGTAATCATCCAGAACTTAAGATTTCATTTGATGCTCATGTCAACAAGATGTTTGGCTGTTCTACAAAATTAAATCACAAGTTCCTTAAACAAATGTTCCTCTAAACAGTTTTCCACAGATAAGAGCGATTTGCTGCAGTTAAAAAATACATGGATGTAAAGGAAGAGATAATTGATCTGTATCTCAAGGTAGCACTGGAAGCATATTGAAAAATCAACATATATTTTCTTTTTTTTCCCCCTAACTCTGGGAACCAGCTGCAGTGTATATAGTACATATATATATATAAATTTCCTTCTCCTTTTCTTTCTAAATTGGAAAAGGGGAGAGAACAAAAGTCTTCTAGTGATTGTTTTTCCATGGTATAAATTTGAATCAAAACTCTCTTTACAACAAAATTAAGCTAAGCAGAAAATATTTCAGATGCAATAATGCTGATTTTTTTAAAGTAATTTTATATATCTTCTCCAGAAATTGTTTTCCTTTTGTTTGTATTAAGGGAGTACTCAGAGAATCATAGAATAAGGGACCCATCAGGATCATTGAAGTACAGCTCCTGGCTCTGCACACAGCAGTCCCAAGAGTCCCACCATGTACCTGAGAACATTGTCTAAACACCCCTTGAATTCAGAGAGGCTTAATGCTGTGACCACTTCCCTGGGAAGCCTGTTCCAGTGCCCAACCATTCTCTGGGTGAAGAACCTTTCCCTGAATCCAAACTAAACATCCCCCAGCTCAGCTTCATGCCATTTCCTCAAATCTTGTCACTGGTTTTGTGATGAGATTGATGTCTGCCCCTCTGCTTCCCCTTGTGAGGATGTTGAAGACCACAATGATGTATCTCCTCAGTCTCCTTTAGACTGAACAAACCAAGTGTTCTCAATCACTTCAGACCCCTCACCAACCTTGTGGTTCTCCTTTGGATGATCTCTAATAGCTTGACTTTTTTTTTTTTTTTTTTTTTTTTTTTTTTTTTTTTTTTTTTTTTTTTTTTTTTTTTTTTTAATATTGAGGCACCAAAAACTGCACACAATATTCAAGGTGAGGCCACCCCAGTGCAGAGCAGAGAGGGACAATCCCCTCCCTTGCCCAGGTGATGCTGTGCCTGATGTCCCCCAGGACAGGGTTGGCCTCCCAGGGCACTGCTGACTCAACTTGACATCAACCAGGATCTCCAGGTCCCTTTCCAGAGCGCTGCTCTCCAGCCTCTCCTTCCTTAATCTATACACACAACCAGGACTGCCTTGTCTCAGGCTGTAGGCACTATGGCCCATGGAATATCCATAACCCATACTAAATGGATAAAATAAGACTTTCTTATATTTGATACAATGCTTAACTAAAGCCATTAATTTCTTCATATTTTGAGTTTTATTCATACTTATTTAATACATGTATAAAAAATTTTGTGTCCAGCTAGAAAGACACTACTTGATTGCCTGACCAAAGATGAATTAATCAGCATGCATTATTTCTAACAATTTCACTTTCTTGCTCCATGCCTGACTTCTTATCAACAAAGTAATATTGAGTTTCATTACTTATTTTCCTGATGCTCTAGGCCTCTATTTTGAATATGTGCAACAGCAGTAGCCAATGTTTTGTCTACTGTGGGCTGTACAGGCTTTGAAGGATTCATCAGAGATGGCAAAGCTTTGGTTGAATTCTCTTTCTATGTTACCCCCATGATCTGCTAGGACTTCCTAGGATCAGCTACTGGATGGCTAACTAGAGGTTTTATTCCTGTGCCTTTTACATAATAGCCTGGCTTCCAGCCTTGTGACAGGATATACGTGCTGCGCCATGCGTATTCCCATCACGTGGCAGACGTTCATCTGCAGTGCTGGCATTGTGCTGGTGCAGCAGCTTGTTTCCCATTACTCAAGGGCCATGTGCTGCAGCACCCTTAGGAAACAGTCTGGCAGGAGTGAGGCTGCTCAAGCCCTGCGCCTCTCACCTCTCAGAAGGTGCAAGCAGCAAGTCGCCAAATTTGTTGTTTGTTAAGCTTGGATTTTTGTCTGTGACCCACTGATTGAGACCCTGAGTGACATCCTGCAAGGTGAGCAGGGGTGATAGGGAGTGAAATTTTCTGTGTTACCATTAAATTTGGTGTCAAAGCTCTTGGAAACTGCTTGATGCATGGCTTGGGTCAGGGATGGCCCTTCCTATAGTGACAAGGAAAGAGATGAAGATATGCATGGGAGCATTCCTGAGACGATAGCTTGGTTGTTGAAACCTCACAGGACAGTCATCTGCAAGGACACTGTGATTAGTGAGGCTTAAGTAAAAACATTTTTTTGAAATTCATAACACTTTGTCAAACTCATTGAATTTACAATTGGTATTAGAATAATAGAATCACAGAGTGGCCTGAGTTGAAGGGGACCTTAAAGATCATCTTAACTCTGTGTCCCCTGCCATGGACAGGGGGCAGTATCTTTCACTACACCAGGTTGCTCACAGCTACATCCAGCCTGCCCTTGAACAATTCCAGGGACTGGATAATCTACAACTTCCATGGGTGACCTGGTCCAGTGCCTCATCCTCTTCACAGTTCTGGATATAACTGTGTTTACAGAAATGAGGTCTGTGAATTTGCCTTCTCCTGAGGTGTTTCTGCTGCATTTGACAGCAGATGAGGGAGTAGATAAAATCATACATGCCATTTTATACCCTTGCAGCTGTTTGTGAGACAAGGAACAGTTTTGATTCAGCTGGGCTAGTTCCGAGCTACCTGTTTTACTCACGTAATGTTCAAAATCACTGAACTGAAGGAGTTTATTTTTTGTTAGTGGTGGAGTTGGATAAGAAATCATTAATTTCAGTTCATATAGCTTGGCATTTCTACATTTAAACGTTTTATGTTCCTATAGACTTTTTGAGTAGAGCAACAATTTTGTAGTAAACTGTAGAGAGTCTCCAGCCAGCTGATGCATTTTGTACTAGTGTACCTCTGTATTTTGTGTCTTATACTGCCATCTAAGGGCCATGTAGGCTGAGAAGGTGCCTAAAGGTTCTTCAGTACTCTTCTTTCTCCATACTGCCCCTCTGTTTGGGAAGTCAGCAATCCATGAATGAAAAAGGTGGGCAGGGGATAAAAACCAGTGTTTTGATGCAGTATGTTTCATCTAAGAGAAACAGAGGAATCTTCCTGGTAAGCGATAAACTGAAATGTCAACCTCAGTCATTTAGAAAACTACAGTTACAATGAGTTTGTGTAAAGGCCAGAGAATAAGAAAGCAAGATTATGGGATTTGTGGCTACCCCTGAAGCAGCAAGGGCATGTGAGATCTAGATTCTTCAATGGACCTAAGTCCTCATGTCCTACTGATTTAGGAATTAGTGCTTTATAATAAAATTTGCTTTTTAAGAGTTTCTCTAGAAAGGTACAACATTACATTATTTAGTTTCTTGGTTTGGTGTTTTGTTTGGTTTTCTGGTTTAGGTTTTTGGGGTTTTTTTTCTTTTTTTTTTTTGACTGATTTTGCATTTCTGGGTATTTTGATTTTCCAGGAATAAGGGAGTAAAGAGGAAAAACTCAGTCTTACTTTAGTAGTATATGATATTCAATAACATGAACATAATGTAAATATTTTGGGGTTCAATCATTCAAAATTTTATCACAAAAACTGATCTTTCTAAGATAAAAATGCATTTTTTTAAATAATCTGCAAACTGTACTTGTATAGGCTTAATTCTATAGCTCCTTTCTCACATAGATATTTTGAACTACAAGGGTGATAAAGAAGTGGTGGAAGAAGCAAAACATTTTATTGTTTGTCAATATAGTAATGTTGACATTGAGCGAGAGAAGCAGTGTTTATAATGAGGACCCCTTTATTTTACATTGTATGACTTGCTTTTCAGGCTAGTTCCCAGCAACCCTTGTGTACCAGGGAAAGTAATTAATCTTGCATGTTACTTTGGCAGGCTCACGGAAGCAAAGACCTGGAAGAGCAGTTGCGGTCAGTGTCCAGTGTGGATGAGCTCATGACAGTACTTTACCCAGAATACTGGAAAATATTCAAATGTCAGTTGAGGAGAGGAGGTTGGCAACACAACAGGGAGCACTCCAGCTTTGACACAAGATCAGATGATTCTCTGAAATTTGCTGCAGCACACTATAATGCAGAGATCCTGAAAAGTAAGTACAGGACATAATCCTCATTCCAACACACAGAAAATGAAAATCTGAAGGCTTTTCAATTGTGTCAAAAACACTTTAAAAGCTAAGCATTGTCAGTAAACCAGCATCAGCACTTTGATAGGATGTGTTCTCTATAATGTAAAATCTTTGATAGTCAGCCTTTCATAACGGAACAAATTACTCTGCAGGGATATTTTATGTATGTCCATTGTATAAAAGTGCTTTCTCAGCTCAGCAGAGAGAGTGAAGTGCTTGTCTTCAAGAATAAGGAGTCCTACTTCATAGAGGCTGTAACAATTTTGCAGAAATCAAAAAGGATGCTAATAGTTGGGCTCATTGAAATATTTCTTCTCATTTTCTGCTGTTGCATCACGGCTGGTAGTGCTTTCTTCTCTTATGCGTTATGGCTTTGGAATGCCAAATAATCCACTTGTAGCTCTTTCATGTTACAAGAAGATAGTTGTAATGATGTTGTGCTAAAACAAGCAAAGCAGTTTTCAAACCAGTGTGTTTGAATACCTTTCAGTGTTTCAGATAGCTTGGATGAAAATATATTAACTTACAGTTTAAGCCAGTGCTTATAGGGAGAGAATGCAGGATTTATAGCAGGAGGTGTATTTTTGGACATGATATTGGAAATCATGTACCTTAATGGAGAGTTTAAAGTACACATAAGGCAAAATTTCCATTTTTGTTGAATAGCTTACCAAAATCTAGTGCCAAAAGGGAATAAACTTACAGCTGTAAGTCTCAGGGATGTTTAGTGTAAGATTATATTTAGTAAAATGTTGTATAACATGATACAAAGTCGTTGCCGAAATTTGTGTGAATAATCTGGGCACAAAAATCATCCATCAGATTAAATCACATGCGGTACATAATTGCTAAATACTTTTGCTTTAAATTACACCCTTCTAGTTAAAAAACTAAACATGTATTTAAATGAATTTCACATTAAGTGTATAAAATTTAAAAATTCAAATATATCCCAGTGAAGTACTGTGTGGGGCTGGTTAGAATTACTTTGCAGAAGTGTGCAGAACTAAAGTGCAGATTTTACTCAAGATGAGACTTGCCCCAGGTGAAGGAAGGACACAAGCAGCTTTAGCTGCTGGCCAGCAGTTTGAGGGAGCTGATGCTGCCCCTCCCTCTGCTCTAGTGAGACCCATCAGCAGCACTGTGTGTCCACAGCATCCAGCTCGGGGGCCCCAGCACAAGAAGGATGTGGACCTGTTGGAGCAGGTCCAGAAGAGGGCTGTAAGGACATTCAGAGGGCTGGAGCACCTCTCCTATGAAGGTGGGCTGAGAGAGCTGGGGCTGCTCAGCCTGGAGGAGAGAAGACTCCCAGGAGTTCTTACAGCAGTTCTTACAGAACTCCCAGGAATTCTTACAGTTCTTAAAGGGGTCTATGAGAAAGATGAGGAGAGATGTTTTAGCAGGTCCCGTTGTGGTAGGACAAGGGTAATAATTTTAAACTAAAGAAAGTAGATTGACACTAGATAAAAGGAAGAAAACTTTTACTATAAGGATGGTGAATTACTGGAACATGTTGCCCAGTGGGGTGGTAGATGCCTCATCCCTTGAACCATCCAAAGTCATTCAAGTTTGGATGGGGCTCTGAGCAATCTGATCTGCTTGAAGATGTCCTTGCTCATTACAAGAGGGTTGGTCTAGGTGGCAGGTGACCTTTAAAGGTCCTTTCCAACACAAGTCAGGCTATGATCCTGTGCTTTAAGGTCTTCCCTGCCTGTTCCCGTTTAGCTCCACTGTGACTTTTCATCTGCTCCATGACGATATGTCATGTCCCTATGGAGGAGAAAAATCAGCTAGAAGGTAACATAGAGATATGTATTTCACTGACTAAAGGGTGTGACTCTAGAATTTAATCTTCTGGTTTGGAAGTTTAAAAAGGAATCCTAATTTGCTGCAGGATAGTTTTGATTTTAAACAGTTACTTTATAACATGAAATTCCTTGTAACTTGGCAGGTATTGATACTGAATGGAGAAAAACTCAGTGCACGCCACGTGAAGTGTGTGTGGATGTGGGAAAAGAGTTTGGAGCAACTACAAACACCTTCTTTAAACCCCCATGTGTATCCATCTACAGATGTGGAGGTTGCTGCAATAGTGAAGGACTTCAGTGTATGAATATCAGCACAAATTACATCAGCAAGACAGTAAGTTCTCACACTTTTACAGTTCATGTACTCCTTGCAAATACATTTATGTTAATGAATATTTTAAACCTTCGTATTGCTACTATGACAAAGGAAATTGTTGATTCCATAATACAGAGGAAAAACAACTGAAGACACTACTGCCTGGAAAAAAAAAAAAGTATCTAACTCTCTTTTCCCCAAAATATTTTTATTTTTCAGGGGAAAAAATAAATTATGATTTCCCATTCTCATTTTTGAGGCTATCCATAAAACTTAATTCTCTCTCTTTTTTTTTTTTTTTTTTTTTTTTTTTTTTTTTTTTTTTTTTTTTTTTTTTTTTTTTTTTTTTTTTTTTTTTCCCATCTATCTTATGTCTGTATGGGGCAAGCACTCCATGGAAAACTAGCATGTAATTTTATTAGTGTAGACTGCTGCAGGACATGTTCAGGAGGCAGGATACATGTTTCAAATAAAGCCTTTTAGGTAGGGTGTTTTGCTATTTTAAGACATATTATCATTATGTGTCTATTTGTTTTCTTGTAAACCATCTTCTTTGAGTATATGTGCAGGTTTTGTTCTTCAAGTTCAGGGTTAGTGATTAGGTAGGAGTGTGCAGAGATCATGTACTGACCCTGTGAGCTGCCTTTAAAGCAGCATGTGCTACATTATTCTAAGTATATATAGGAATTATTACAATTATCTTTCAATATTTCCCTCAAAAATAATGTAAAAAATAGTCATACTTAAAAGAATTTCCTAGAGTATTTTCCTGTTATTTGGTATTTGTTAGTGGTTTTGTTGGTTGTAGGCTTTTTAATTTTTTAGTGTAAATTTTGCTTCCTTTTTCAAGAGGATTCATCTAGCTGAAGATGCAGTACATATTTATAATGAAGACCAAAAACTGCATAGCCAGTTATAAAACTGAAGCCCTTAGAAATGTCATTCCTTTATCAAAAAAATTCTTAGTGCTCTAAGCCTCTTCTGGGGGGAATTAGGAAAAGGGAACGCAAAGAAAACAGTAAAACCCATTAATTTTGTAGAGTGCACTTTCTGCTCTCATTTCTCACCAAATCTGTCTGTCTGAAATGGTATATACTTCCAAGAATTTTCAGTCCTAAATTTAGGCTACTGGTAGACAGCCATGCAGCACAGGAGTAATGTAGCTCAAATAGCTTAAATGAGGATAACAACACTGACTTTGTTTAAGCCTTACTGTTTTTCTCATTATTAGGAGAAACCATTGTCTCAATTCCACTTGCTTGAAAGATGCAAATATAATTTTCATTTTAAAACCCAAGAAGTGGGACTTTTTTTTTTTTTCACACATTGGTAAATTTCAGCTTACCAAAATAAAGGATTATTTCATCACAGAGAGAGCTGTCCACATAACACAAATTTCCTAGTTTTTGAGCTAAGTCAGTTTGGACTAAATCATATCTTTCTCTTCATCTTACTGTTCACATCTGTTGAGTAAAGTAATTTTTTACACAGGAGAAAATGTTTAGCACTGAGTTTCCTTTTGAAGTTCGTGATGCTATTGGTGATGATACGACGTAGGAGTAGTTAAAGATTTGAGAGACTGAAAAGGAAAATCTTAAAGGTCTTATTAGAAAGATGAGGCAATAATACTGTTTTGTTTTCTTACTTATCCTGTAAAAGCAAGCAATTGTATCTATGAGTTTTCTGTCTTGCTTCTGATTTCCAGTTTTATCTGGTCCTTGCCAGAATGCAGTTTTAAAAGAAACCTTAATAAAGGAACAGACCTATAGCTATATATCTTCATCTGTCACCATCTCAATTTTTTTAAATTTATGTGACTACAATTTAAGCCATATCAGATGAGAATTAGGAAGAAAAAAAGTATTGGATTCAAGACCTTCTGTGGAATTCAGGTACCCTACGCATCTACTTTTGCCACAATTTTTCTTGTTTCCTGAAAGACATGAGTGCTAATAGTTTTATCATGATTCACCAATTTTTAGCTTTATTTTTTTGTGCATAAGCTCTGTAAGATTACTTCATACTGTTCACCCTGCATTTAATGAGAAATTAATTTTTTAGCTGGAGTTCTTACTGTGAGGGCAAGCACTAGCATTGGTTCCAGACATTAAAATATAAAGAAAGATTATATCAGCTTCCATCAAAATTAATTAAAAATAAAGCACAGAAATTATTTTTATAGGGGGCAAATAATTGATTTCCAGAAGAGTGGACCAGGTCAGATGTTCCCAGATTACCTTGTGGTCCAGAGCAAGGTCAAAAATAGAAACATATTCTGCTTCCTTTAATACCACTTTTTCCCAAACCCTGTTTTTGTAGTTGTTAAGGGATGTTTATACAACCAGGATTGAGATATGAGACAACTTCTTAATTAAGATGCAGTACAAGATCTGTCACAATATTTGAAGACTCCCTAGGCTAATTCACAAAGTGTAGCAGGTCCTCTCCTGCCTCCAACAGCCCATTTTTTAAGTGGTGGTTTGCCTCGTAAGGATCTGTGGGAGATGTGACTGGTTGGGTTTTCATTTTGTGGTGTGGTTGTTTGGGTTTTTTCTCTGATTTGTTATCAAACAGCTGTTCTCTGTTTCCATGGCACACATAATTCAACAATGCTTACAAAGATTGTGGAACTACCTAGTGCAGTTATAGCCTGTCCCTCAGCAGCACTTTTCTATGCCCCACCTACAGGCACTTGCTCATAGGTTGAAGGGAAGCAAGGGAGAGATGTCAAAGAGCTGTTTCATCCCATTCTCCCTCTTGGCTGTCAGGAAGGACATTTTTTTGGCTTTTTTCAGATCACTTGTTGTAAAGGTCCTAAATCATCTTATTTCATGATTACAGTTATAGTGCCTCAAGGGAAAACATCTATCCAAGCAGATCAAAATTAGATTTAGAGGAGATTTTCTCACAGGAAACAAGTTAACATCTTGAAATTGTTTGCCCAGTTTGGGATGTATGTGGTGTTCTTTTTCACAATTCAGAGATACGCCACAAGAATATTCTGTTGTTTTCAACATTAGTATTTCAACCTTTTCCCATGCATTTTTCTGTTAGACTAACTATTGTAGTGATATAGTAGGTACTTTTAATAGTGGGGTATATATAAGTTCCAAAGTTTTTTTGTTAATATTTCTGGGAAAATAAAGGGATTAAAATAGAAAAATTTAGTATAAGGAACCCAAGCATATGAAATAAATATGGCTTTATTGTCAAATAGCTGGTTTTGTATCCCACATAAACCTTGAAATAGTTTTTCAAGAAAGCTCAACAGTAAAATAATGACGATATGCCATTTCTCAAATAGTTCATTTTCATTCTTTTCAATATGGAGATGTTTAGTTTTGAAATCGGTCTTATGTCCTTAGTTTAAAAATCTCTCTAGACACATTGTACTGTGTTACACTGGTTATATTTGGCTGGCCTTACTGACACTTTAGAAAGTGCAAAGATCACAAGTGATGGAAACTTAGACTCAGTCAATTTAAGGGAAACGTGCCAAAATAAACCACAGGCCATCAGAAGAACATGAGATAGTTAATGCAAATCTTGGGAAAAAAACATACATAAATCCTGTATTTGAAAAGTATCTAGAATGATGGCCTTCCCACACAATAACAGTTTTGATATATTTCAGAAGTCAGTGAGCATATTAATAATTTTATGTGTGCTGATACAACGGATATTGGCACATATGATGATAGTGCTGAATAAATTAATTTAGCTACTGAAGCAAAGAAATGCTTTGTATAAAAACCCTCAGTTTTTCTGGTAAGTAAGCTATGAAGTCCTTTTAGTGTAAAGAAGACACCATCAAGGCCATGGATCAAAATGACATGCCTTTTGGGGCTTTGAGTAACGTGGTCTAGTGAAAGGTGTCCCTCCCCATGGCAGGGGGGGTCTAATTAGATGATCTCTAAGGTCCTTTCCAAGCTAAACTATTCTATGTTTCTAAGAATCAGTGAGAAGGAATATATATTAAATTGCTTTTTCAGGAGTTCTGATAGCACTTTTTGTCAACACATTCAGAGATTCCCATCTTCTGTTAGATTTTTTCTTTTTTTCTAAGGTTAAAATCATATTAAGTTCTAGGTTGTGGACAGTACTTGCAAGAGAAACCCTAGAAATGGTGTGGAAGACCTGCTATCTGGTTTTCTGTGGTAAAACAGCTTTAGACTGGCTGTATGGCAGGTATTGAATTCTTATTAAATGGATTAATTATTAATGGCTTTCAATTGTTCTTCAATTACACAGAGCTCCTGTTAGTATGTGCTATACTCTGAGATTAACAATGTGTAACTGACTTACGTTTACAATTAGCAGCTTTTCAGGAGGAGGACGGAGCCTTGTGATTATCTGGGGGTTTTTTTGGGTTTGGTTGGTTGGTTTGGTCTTTTGGTTTGTTTTTTGTTTTTTTGGTTTTCTTTTTGTTATATACATTACTCTTTAGTTATACAATTGCTCATTGCTTCTGTTGTTGCTTTCTACTGGTTTACTGACAAAGCAGTGTTGGTGGCAAAAAGGTACAGGACAGCGTGGGCAAGTTGAGTCTGTATTTTTCTTTTATTTGCCTCTGACTAGAGCAATACTCATAAATTACTGCTTTATTTATTACAGCTACTAACATTTTTCAGAGCAATAAATGCTCTCCACTTTTCAAAGACTTCTCTAATTCCTACTGTTGTCAGATCTTATGTTCTTCTGGATACTGAAGTTAATTTGTTGTAGTCTTTGGTACTGAATTTCTGTCTTTAGCCTGAAAGACATGGCTTTTCCCTTTAGAGTGAATTAGTCTGATTTTTTATCATAATTTAAAGTTGCAAAGGAAGAGAAGATTTGGGCTTCTAAGAATGCAGTAAATCCAATATTTTAGCGAATGAGGGATCAAACAGAAATATAAGCCATTTGGTCTACAAGAAGAATTACCCATTTGGACCATGTGGGTAGCAGCAATAGTAGCCACAGCCAACAGTGGTGCCAGAAAAAGAATTGAGAACCAGCCTCATACATAGATGTTACGAGGCATTTTTCATAGAAATACCCTTTCTATGTATTGACATTTGCCAGACATGCCCTATAGTGACAGCAGATGTTGAGCTTATTGTTCTGTTGGATGAGGAAGGAGAGAAAAAAAAAAAAGTAGATGTTATCAAAACTATGAAGCATTGTTTATGGTCAGGTTTTACATAATCTGAAATGTTTTACTTAGATGAAGATTTGAACATAAGTGAGGCATGTTGAGAGTTTATTCACTTAAAATAGTTTCACTGAATAAACAGTAACAACTATTGGGTGAGGTAGAATACATTACCATTAAGAGGATTTATCTGGGCAAACTGAAGACAATTTGAGGAGATTAAGGAAGCTAGTCTACCTTTATGGTTTTTAACTAGACTTTTTTCTCACTGAACCACTGAAGTGTTGATGGGAATAGTTGTTAGCAATATTCATCTCATAATGGATACCTTTCACAGCTTAAGTGGAAGGATAAATGTAAATTAAGATTAATTCATGTTCACCATCATTTCCTTTTCCATTACCATGATTGATACAGCTCAGCTGGTTTTGTGAAATGTGAATCTTCTGAAGCTGAATACCTCTTTTAGGTCCTTTGGAAATGTAACAGTTGTCCCATGCTGCCATCCCTAGTGGTCTGGAGTCTGCTATGCTTTGCAGCATGGAAAATTGATCTACTGAAGAATACAGGAAGAATATGCACTTGTCTTCCACTGCAGTTAGGTCCATTCACAGACTCATGCTTATTTAGTTTTCTAAGATTTTTCAGTTCTCTTTTTATTTCGGCTTCAGAAAAGCAAGGTCATACTGTCATGAGAGAACAGAAAAAACAAGATTCTCCTTCATGTGTAATATTTTAATTAAGTTCATACTCTTTGTTCTGCCCGTCATTCATATATATCTTAAAAGAATCAGTTTTCTAGCAGGTGAATGAGTCCCTTAATAGTGTATTTTATATTTTGATACTGATTATCAGTATTCTGATTATATGTGCATGCTTCGTATATGACATACTCCAAAGTTACAGATTTTTAAAGAGCACTGACAATATATCTCAGCTACAAATTAGTATTTTATACAATCTTATCAACTGCAACTGGAATAAAAAAACAGTCACCAGTTTTAAAGGTAATAAAGTCCCCAGAAGATGCAGAAATGTTCTTAAAGGTATTTGGAAGAATGACTGAACACCTAAAAGGCAGCAGTGCATTGTTGCCCATCTTAAACAGTATCAAAACCCAGCTTTTAAGACTTTGACCTAGTGTATTTGTCCTAGCTTTTCAGGAGATTATGGAGACTCGAGTTTTACAGCAAAACCTACTTAATTTGATAAAGTAGATGTCCGTAACTGAAAACTGAAAGAAGTCTCTTTGTTTTTCTGTTATCACTTGTTCAATTTTACTACAAGGTATCACTGAACTTTTCCTCTTTCACCAGTTGAACTATAATTCCCACTAAAATTAAGGTTTTGTTAATTCATATACAGATTATTTTATCAGTAGTGGATATTTCTTAATACTTTGAAAAAAAATATGGATAGCTAAAGATATATTTCATCAGGATAGGCATATAACTCGAGCAGATACAAATACAAAAAATTTAAAAAATGCAGTATGCTGCAGTTCAAACGTTATTCATCCAGAACTGGTTTGATCAAAGTCTACTATACTGCTGTTTTACATAATCTTTTTTAATTGTGCAACTGATGTATTAAGTGCTAACTTACTGTCTTCTTTATATTGTTCTTCAGCTTTTCAAAGCACCTTCCAAATATTTCATTTTGGATTTTTTTAAATACTGCCAATTTGAAGTTATCTCCTCTAGAAATATGAGTTCTTCGAACATTTTCCTCTAGCATATTAAATGTTATAGTAAGCAAACTGACATGTGACAGGGTTTAACACTAAAAATGTTAATTAACACACCCATAGCTATTGTATTCATTTTGCACATAATAATTATTTAGCAGTATAATTGAATGCTGTAATATAAAACAAAAAAATATCTGAACTTAAATTTGTGATAGGTTTTTCGTATGTCCTTACATTAGTTTTAGCTGGGTCTCTAACAGAAGTTTTTTGCTTTGCTTTGCCTTTTGTAGCTGTTTGAGATCACGGTGCCCCTGTCCCACGGCCCCAAGCCCGTCACCGTCAGTTTCGCCAACCACACGTCCTGCCGGTGCATGTCCAAGCTGGATGTGTACAGACAAGTCCACTCCATCATAAGGCGTTCCTTGCCAGCAGCACAAACTCAGTAAGTATGAGGCTTGTCTTTCCTTTCACATTGTGAGCAAGCCTATATAATTCAGATTTAAAATACTGCTTGGACGTTTTCACAGTTAGGCTAGGCGAACTATGCATGGTAGTAGCAGAATGCATTCTGCAAGGGAGCTGCCATTATTTTTCACAAAGACAATTTTACTAAATTCATCTTTCTACCCACTAGAACAAGATGATTTAAACCTGAAGAATAGCATGTGTGGGATTTTCTTGATGAAAGAGCTGCAGTCCAATTGAGAGTTAAAGAAACCATCAGCAAAATCAATTTATTTTTAAAACAAAAGCTAAAAGTATCTTTGTAAATAATTAGGAGACAACATTTCTCTCTCAATCTATATTTTCATATTTTAAATGCTTTTTTTTTAAAGGCTTGTTTTTAGGGAACCTTTAACTTACAAATCTTTTTTTACATTTTCATGTGCCAGAGGTACATGTAAAATAGAATGGAAGGGGAAAATAGAGAGTTAATTGGCATTCCATAGAAATAGCATATTGATTTTTTGTGTGTGTGTGATTTTGAATGAAAAATGTCACAGAACTTTCTGTCTCTGGAAACTGATTTTAAGTTATTAAAACACTCAATTTTAAAACTTCATTAATTTAGAGATTTGAGTGATTATTTTATAAGGTATAAATATTTAGGAGGTCAAAAATACATAATAGAATAAGAGTTGCTTTGATGAAGAGTCAATAACTAGAAGCCAAACTGGAATGAATTGACATTTTGAATAAGGTGAGTGGGTAGAACAAATTTCTCAAAGGTGTTAAGCATTTTCCTCAGTGGTTTCAATCTGTTTAAGTCTGGATGTTTTCTAACATGTTCCTAAACATAGATTGTATTCTATTTGAGTTTAATTTATTTAATTTGCTCATCAAAACATAGATCATAAACAGTGGCTTGGAAATAAATCTATTAATAATTAGTTTAATTAAATAATTAACAGATTATTCAAAAAACCAAACCCAAGAGTCAGTAAGAAAGTCAAATTATGTTGAGTCTCTCCAGCTTCTCAGGTTTCTAAGTTAAGAGCAGTTGTAATGACCCATGCAAGAGTTTATTTTAGCCAGGAAACAGCTACTTGTAGTTCAGGGAGGTGAGAGTACAGATACCAGACTTGGACCAGCATTCACAGGTAGCTGTTTGTCCTGTGACTAAGAAATCACGCTTCAACAGAGGTAAGAAAACATAGTACTAGATCAGAATATATAAAGGTCTTCTCTACTGCTACTTAACGTATTTAAGTTTGTAATCTGTGGCTTTGTGCAATGCAACAGGCAGGAGGGTTTGTTTTTTTGTTGTTGTTTGGTTGATTTGGTTTGGGTCTTTTTAACAGAATACAATAATATGTCTGTAGGTTATCTATAACTATTTTTCAAGAGGAATTGGAAGGCAGGCTAAAGGAAACGTATGCCAAGTGAGGCAGCAGAGTGAGATAGTTATTGGGATAAAATCAGGAAACACTAGCTTGGTAAAACATGAGGTGAAGCAGGGTGATGTTAACCACAGCAGTATTTATAAGTGGAGTGATTTAGTGTGTTGAAGGGGAGTGATCTTGAATGATCACAGAAGAATATCCCAGCACCTGCATTTTTGAATGTGTGAGTAATGATGCTCAGGGGAATGAAAAGTTCATCAAATGTGTAATATAGGTGTTGTCTTAAAAGATTATTAGGATTTTAGAAATACTACAGAAACAATGAATAAATTACACAACCCGGATACATGAAGACAGGCTTGACTTATTCAAAGATGTAATGTCAGCTGTGGTGATAAAGAAATTGCAAGCAAGAAAGATGAGATAATACACATAAATATTCTATCAGTGATTCACCAGACAGCTCAGTGCACTCATTCTCTAAAAAGGCAACAGCTGCTTTTGGATTTCTTGCTTTCATTGTTACCACTACCTTGGCAGCAAACTGTAGCAGGGAAAGAGGACTAAAGTGTTAACTTGTTTATTGTCTTTAAAGTGAGGAGACATCACTGCTGAAAGTCCAGTTCTATAGGATCAAAAAGGCTGTCCAGAATGAGTGACTGATGAGAAAGTGTCAGCTAATGGCACATAGCTTTCACATAAAGTGGAACAGAATCTGATAAACTGATTTTATTTTTTAAAGTTTTGCCTACAGAATTTATTCCAAAACTATTATTGTTGCCTTTTTGACATCTTAAATTTGAATAAAAGCTATCTGGAAAATCTTGCCTGTTACCATGCAGTATTTGGCATGCAAAAGAATTGTTATACTTGTCTGTATGAGGCTTATGTTCTAAGGTTAGGTCTGTTTCAAAACAACATCAGCAAAATACAAATACCAGCTTCTAGAAGTTGGAGCTAAAACTTGAAATAAAGAAGGTTTCTTCAACAAATAGTTGAAAATCTCTCTAGTGGGGAGAACCTTTAGTAGCAGATTTGACAGGAATAAAAAATAAAATTATTAATGAGCTGACACTTTTAGAAAGATATTTGCAATCAACAGCTAAAGTAGTTTTTTTTTTCTCCTTGCATTCTTATGGTAGTAAATAAGAGCATTTTTAATTTTGCAGGTGTCATGTGGCAAACAAGACCTGTCCAAAAAATCATATTTGGAATAATCAAATTTGCAGATGTTTGTCACAGCATGATTTTGGTTTCTCTTCTCACCTTGGAGATTCTGGTAAGCAGTTTCCCTTAAAGCATCAAATGATGTTCTAAAGATAAGAAGTTGTAGTAATTACTTGTATCTTTTTCTGTATGGGTGCTACTACTGGCTGTTGCCTGTCTTTTGACATTTGCTTGTTTTTGAAACACCATAAAATGTATGGATTTGCTAATTTCTTCACATAAAAATAGGTGAGAGAGTAGACACAAAATTCTGGTACTAGTGGGACTTCTCTGCTGCTTTTCCAGACACATCTGAAGGATTCCATATCTGTGGACCGAACAAGGAGCTGGATGAAGAAACCTGTCAGTGTGTCTGCAAAGGAGGCGTGCGGCCCTCGAGCTGTGGTCCTCACAAAGAATTAGACAGAACATCGTGTCAGTGCATGTGCAAAAACAAACTTATCCCTGCATCCTGTGGGCCCAACAAGGAATTTGATGAAGAAAAGTGCCAGTGTGTATGCAGAAAGACCTGTCCTAGACATCAGCCGCTAAACCCTGCAAAATGCGTCTGTGAATGTATAGAATCTCCCAATAAATGCTTCTTGAAAGGAAAAAGGTTCCATCACCAGACATGCAGGTATAACCACAGCTTTTATTTCTTTTATAGTGTTCAAGGCCTAAAATTTTGGGTTGTGGCATTAGCTGTCTTGTTGAATTGCTCTGTAGTCTTAAGTGAACAATAAGCCTGTTCAGTTCAGTTTTATCTTCTATGACTTCTATAATCTCTAAGAGGAAGCTACTAAGCATAATAAGTATTCTAAAGCATATTTAGTTTCTAGTGCTCTTAGACTGCTTTTGAAACTTTTCTTCCTTTTCCTTTTTTTTTTCCTGATGAAATGTAAGAAATGAAGGAATGTAATTTGTTGGAATAAATATATTGCTATATAGATACACATTTGTTCATCTTCATAAAAAAAAGATGTCAAATATAAGTAGTGACACTTTTGTTGAAGTCTCTAAAATGAGGAAAAATATTATTAACTGGCATTACTTTTTTACCACTAATTAGCCTTTTAAGTGACATAGAAGAGTTGTTAGAAACATCAGAAATTGTTTCGTCTCTATAATTCAATTTTATGTTTGCAGAGGAAAAGAAACCAGCCTGGTTACATAAGCTGTACACATTATAAAACCTTTGCACTATAGGTTTCACTTCCAGAAGTGCTGCAAATATTAACCACCTACATTTTAAAAGAACATTCACAATTGGAGAAGTCAGGCACTTAAGAAGCTAAGAAATACCATAATAAATATTTGTTTAAAGTAAATATTTGTTTAAAGTAAAAAATATTTGTTAAAGACTTGGTATTTGAGGGAAGAAATTAGGTTCAGCCTTTCTCTGTTGTGTTGTGGTTGAATGCAATAGAGTTTCAATCATTTTCTCACTTGCAAGGACAGTATGATATAGGATGCATTTTGCCTTTTTTCTAAGCTGTTTTTCTTTTGTCTTTGGGTACAGAGAGACAAGTTTATATATGTTGTTACTTTATACCTCTGGAACCAGTAGTCCTGTAGATGTTAGCACTGTTAGAGGAAACAATCTCCTTAAGAAAAGACTTAGCATAGGTTTCTCACATTTTGGCTCTGTCCAGCGCAAGCTGTCTCTAAAAGGAATAAAAATCCTGCAACATCTTTTTTATCTCTGAAAGATCCCTTGCTCATTTAAAACAGCATCAATTATACAATTTAATTTGTATAATAAAAATATAAAATATATGACTGATACAAGTTTAGTTAAAATAAATAGAAGTACCACTCTGTTTAACTTTGTGCTAGACCTGTGAGCCCTAGACATAAGCATAATCCTGTAGTCATGTCGTAGACAGCTCCCTGTCCTACAAGTAGTGCTTGTAGCTTCTGGTTTTGAATATTTTTATGCACTGAACTTAAAATGCCCCTGCATCTACTAGTTACACCCTGCTTCAGATGAAAGGAATACAAAATCAGCTACAAAGCACAGGATAGGAAGGGAAAAAAGACTCTCTAAAAAAAGCTTTTTAAGGTGATTGTGCTGTTTATCAGCCCAAGAAGTAGCATTTCCTCTTGTTTCATCTGTGGAGTTGTTAGACTGCCCACAGTGACAATCTGGGCATTCTGCACAGAAAAGATTCACAATAATTGACCATAAAGAGAAAGTTGCTGCCACTTTGCCCAGTACTATGAATAGTGACTAAACATCTATCTTAGCTCCAGCATGCTCAGATTGTCCTCATTGAACAGACCTCTGTCACATGGAACCACTCAGTAAACAGCATTCAGACCAAATCTCTTGAAAAACCTGGTCTATTGTTCAGCAGTTTCCTAAGGAAACCACATTTATGTAGTTACAATGACTCTGCTGCTATTCACCCTGTGCTACCACCTCTAAAATTTATTTTGGTCAGTTTTGGCTGGGCCAGATTAACGAGGAACTTCATCTGCTAAGCACTTTAGAGGAGAGGGCCTTTCTTGCTCTGTTGAAATATCCCAAATAAGAATAAGACTGAAGTAACCTGACCTTGACTGCTGCTAGACACAAACTCACATGGGAGAGGTGCTATATAGCACTCCCAGCTGCAAGCTGAATTTCACAAGGAGCCATGAATCCTAAACAAAGTGAACTCCTCATCCTTAATGCTTGCATGACTGTTTTTCATTGTGCACAGACATAGGTGTGTGGAAGAGTTTGGTTTTGCCTCTTTTTCTTCTTAGTTTATTTCATTTTACTATCATTCAGTACATGAAATGTTCTGAACTTTCACGGCAGAGACAGCAAAAAAGTGAGTGCAGTGTTTTACCCACTGCATCTCTGTGGAGTAGCTTTTTCCCAGAACAGACCTACTGTTGGTTTGCTTGTTCAGTTACAATATTAGATCCTTCCACAAACCTTTTTGTTGCCTTTTACCACTGCTTCCAAACCATTGGGGGAATAGATCAGTAAGGGTTTGAGAGATTCCCATGAGCTGCTACACTGATTTCAAATATCTATTAAGTGGCACAAAGTAATGTTACTCCCTTAATTATGGAGACCACAGTGGTGAACTAATCTATGATAAATGACAATGAAAACACTGGACATGATGTGACTAGTTAATAAGTGGCCCATTTGCAGTCTTCCTCATTCCTTATCGCTTTCCTCATAGCCAGATTCATCGGTTGAACTGAATGGTGTGAATTCATGTAACTGTAGTGCACAACTCATATCCTAAACAAATTATTGCAAAGTAGTAATTTAGTATCCAAAACAAGCACACAACATACTAACTTATTTGCAACTACAATAATAGTAGCCACAAGCCTGAAACAAGAATTACGTAGGGAAGAGGAGAGTGACAGTGCACAATTTAGCGTGCTGTATATATGCAAGTAAGAGTTATCATAATAGATCATAATATCAGTGTTTCACAAGCAGGCACACATTATTTTAGTACAAGTTTTAAGTATAACTGTGCTGAAATTTGAGACATATACTTTTGTCTTTTGACTCATTGCCAGTGACTGAAAAAATCACAGACTTGTACTTTGTCTCCATTATACACCAGAAAGTATTTAGCATTGTTATTGTAGGGTTATTTTGGGTCAAGTTCTTGTTTTAATAGAAAAATTAAATAGGAAAAGGAAGGGTTCAGGGACAACCAGAGATATTATCTTTGTATAAGTTCTATTTTTCAGTCAAGGAGTTGGTGAGGAAAACTACTGCTGCTGCACAGGGAGATGTGATTTATTGTTCAATACTTTATTTCTGTTAAACTTATTTTAATTGCTTAGACGCTAATTCTGTTCTTTCTCCATTAAGATTTATCAGAAACATGACAAATAGGCTCTGGTTTTTCTTCAGAATGCACACAGATGCAATATGAATGCAATTATATTCCCACTACCTCAGAGACTGGCTGTGGGAATTTGAAACTTGAAAGGAAGTATGTTCTCATTTTCAAGATCAGAGCGTAACATATGTAGACAGACCCCTCTCAGGCTTATTGATGTAGTCAATAAGATGAGAAACAGTCCTGGGTAGGAGGGTGATAGATTTGGTTATCATCTAATTCTGGATTACCACCTCCAGTTTGCAGCATGCAGTAAATTATAACAAACCAGTCTGAGTACAGAAATACATCCTATTTTCAAACAAAAACTTTTAAAAATGTTACTCAAGATTAGAATGCAACAACAACCAGCAGTGATAAAAAAGATCCATATGTATCTGTTGCAATAGAATAATTTCTCTTCAGCATCATTCATTATTGTTTCATTGTCTTTTGTGAAGAGAAGTTCAACTAAAATTGTTGCAAGGACATAAGAAGTTAAAATATATATATTTGTAGGAATTAAATATTACATTGAGAAATGGCAATGTGAAGGCACACAGGTTTCTGCTCCAGTTAAATATAAATGATTATGTTATATTAATGCCCACTTTTTTTCCCCTTTCTTCAGTTGTTACAGACCTCCGTGTACAGTGCGGACGAAGCGCTGCGACGCTGGGTTTTACTTCAGTGAAGAAGTGTGCCGCTGTGTACCTACATATTGGAAAAGGCCACTTATGAATTAGCCAAGAGAGCACTACTTGCTACGTTGGTGCACATTTTTCCATTACAACAAAAGAGCAACAGAAACTTTGCTAATATTTGGAATTAAATGTTCACCAGAGACCCTGTGGGGCATTCAGAGACAGACCTATGCTTTTCTCAAGACGTGGAAAGCAAATGTAGAAAACAACTGGGGTTCATGTTTTGTAAAGAACTCAGTAAGGACTTATTTTCTGTCAATGACCAAACAGCCTAGGTTCTCCTTCTTGTGATTTTTTTTTTTAAGAGATAATGACTATATAATTTATTTCCACTAAAACCATCGTGCAGCATTTCTGTTTATAGCAGTAACAATTGTTAAAGCTCACTGTGATCAATATTTTTATATCATGCAAAGTATGTTTAAAATAAAATGGAAATCGTATTATATATAATGGTGAGAATGTTTAATCATCTGCCTAAAAAGGAACTCGGATTCAGCTCTATTTTCTGGATTCTTAACAGGGAAAGAAGCAGTAAGGAGAAAGCACTTTTAAGAAGGAAGGCTGCAGACATTTTCTGGTACCTGTTGTGTTTGCCATTTGCAATAGAGTTATACCGAGGCTTTTGTGAGCCAGCGGTATTTCTGTCTCTAGAATGAAAATAGCAAAGAAGTTACAATTAATAACAAGGAGGTATTGGAAATTCTGTTCATTGCCCAAGTAAAAAGACTATGTTCAAAGCACAGCAGCAACTATTCATATTCCAATATAGTAATATCCTATTTTATTTCTTGGTGTCATTCTCAAAGGAAAAGTATAAAATTATGTCTCTTCAAGGTTATTCGCATGAAAGCAAAAATACCAAGATTGTTTTTTTACTGTTACAGGCTACATTGTAAATTTTACAGCTAAATTTTTCAAAATGCTTTGATGAGCTCTATCCTTAAATAGTCAATCAGATCTCTTGATCAACATATACAGATGCAAATATATTTTGAAGGGCAAAAAATATATTCCAATGGGGACATGAAAGGACTTATACCAGTCTACTGTGGATTGACACAGTCTCTACATTAAAAAAGTCTCTTTCAGAAAATATTAAGTCAAACATCTACAATTTTAAAACAAGGTAAGATTTTTAACTTGCATGGGAAGGGCAATCTATTCAAAATTAAAATATATCAGAAGTTGGAAGGAAGTTTTTTACTTACGGAAACTTTGTTGGGTGCAGAGTGGAAAAAGCAAAGCTGCAAAGCAAGATTTTTGTGACAGGTGTGGTCAGATCTCTAAAAATAATTCTGCTGGGTCTAAGCAGTTGTTCTTAAAAGAGTTATTGATGAAATAGTATTGTAGTCTAGAACGTTGGCCAGGAGGGGTTGCTTTTCTAGATTCTTTTTATTTCATAGTTCTTAAAACTGAGTTTTAATTACTCAGTCCCCATTGTGGGTTGAGGCAGTGTAACAGGATGAGAGATACTTTGAGACTTCACACTTTCCACTGTCTGCTTGCTATGCCTAGTGTTCTAAGAGACCAGCTATTTATTATCCTAATAGGATAATAGGGTGAAGTTTAGGCATGCAAATACTGAACAAAGTCTTTATCACTATATTGCTTCAGCAATCAAATGCAGGTAGAAATGTGGTGATGATTTAACATTGATGTACAACTTCAGCTGTTATAACTCACACTTCCCATCAGTAGGATTAGTAGTTACACAAATCATCAGTGTCTAATTGGCAATGTCTACATAATAGCTAGAGATTAATGATCAAATTGAATTCAATATTCAAAAAATTCAGGCATCCACTTCTGTAAGTTACCTGCTTGAAGGAAGCCTAAAACACCTTAAGAAACAATTAAAAAACAGATTGGATCTCTGCAGTGACTTGTGTTGGTGAACCAAAACCACTACACTTTTATAAAGACATGGGGGGACGAAAACCTCACTGTAGGTGAAGATTTTAAATTTCTGTCCCAGCCCAATACAGAATAGAGGCAGTGAAGAAAAAGACAAACCAAATCTGGTACCAGGAACAGAGCCTAAGTAAGCAGATATCTAACTAACAGATCAAGGATGTACTTCTGGTTATAAAGCAGAAGGGCACAATTGTAGGCAGAACAAAGTAATTCCAACAAGTAATTCCACAGAGATTATAAAAAGTGCATGTTAAAACACTATACAAATAAAAAAAAAACAAACCCTACTAAACTTACCAATGATCAAATGTCTAATTTTTTTTTTAAATAAACCCATTGTGGCTAAGCAGGTACTTGTATTTCTACTGAGTGAGCATACCACTCTCAAAAATGGTAAAACCCATCTGAGTAGGGAAGTGAAGGCAGGAAGTTCAGAAATGAGACCAATGAACAAGAAGCTTCAACTTTATCACAAACACTAGCATTCAATAAGAATTACTTTCCTGAATGCACATTTTTTCTGGTTCTTAACTTTCCAAGTATTGAGGCTTTTGGGCATAAATTATGCCAATCTAAGTAAAATAAGATTTATAGAGAGCAAATTCCTGACTTGTAAAAGTTACCACAAAATCAGGTTTGTGTCTGAGCAAAGTGAATAGCTGACCATTCACAAAATTATGTAGATGCATAGAATAATACATACAAGCAGTTGGTAACATTTTCTGATAATCAGAATCTCCAGTTCTACTTTCCATGAACACAGTTTTGTGAAAATTATACATAACACAAACATCAGAATTCTCATTACTAATGGATAGACTCTCCAGATTCTATGTGATAAATGTGATTCCATTTCTCTCCATACTGTCATGAAATAATCTGTAAAGCAGGTCTTTTTTGCCTTTATTACATAAAGTAGCTTAGTAGGTCTACACCATTTTCAGTTTTGAAGTGATACTCAATTATGATCCCTTTAAAATTTTCATCTTCACTTCAAACCTTGATATTCTTAAAAATATATAAAAATACAGCTTAAAAGAAGATTTGAAAGATAGATGATAATTATATATGTAAGTTATTCTGCACTAACTCCAAATAAAAACTTGTATTGTTATTTGTCTAAAATCCCCGTACCTTGTACAAAAATTACAAGGTGGTTGGGAGAGGGAGAGTACATGTAACTGCAGTAAATCACATTTAATAGTAAACAGACTTATGCTTGCATTTCATCAGAAATTTACAGCAGTTTCTGTATTCTTTCAATATTGTACTCTAGGGAGACCATAAATTCTGCAGGGTAAACCCTCTTTACCTGCACGGCCAGAGGGACATGCTATTTACAGTGTGAGTGTTGTTAGTCAGCTGACATGTTTGTTTAATTCATGCTGAACAAGCTGATAGTAAATCAGGTCTCTCAGCTCTATTTGAAAGACCAGCATGAAATCTTGCATATGTACTGTATCATCTTGAAAGGCTTAGTGTTAGGATTTCTTTCAGTATTTTCATTTTCAGTCTTTAGATCTCAGTTACAACTCTGGCTGCCCTTGAATTTTAGCATATCTCCCATTTCTTTTAAGCATAACCACCTATAACATCTATGCCAAAAGACAGGAATGGAAAAATTTATGCAGTCAGTAAGCTCATCAAGAGCTGTGTTCTTTTAAATATTATTTATTTTAAATTTAATTTAAGGATATATTCTTAAAAGATTGTGATATAAATATATTTAATTCTGCATCATTTTGAGGTGCAAATGGTTGCTGTCAGATAGAAAAGTTTGAAAGTGGTAAATTCAGATTTTTCACAACTTTTTAATTTGCAAAATATGATATAGGATGAGTTCTTTCTATTACAGGGTTTTTGCTTCCTCAAAGAAAATAAAATAATAGTTGATAATATATTTAATAGCTTCTTTTTGTTCCCTTTCTCTTTTGTTTTTGCCTTGCAGATAAATCTACTGGAAAAGAACACAGGACAACCTTCTAATTGAGTGATGAAATAATAAGATCAAATGGACCAGGTATTTAAATTTTTAATTTAATTAATACTAATGGGTAATAAGAACTAATAAAATTAGGCAACTTAAATACAGGTTTAAGACTCCACAATACACTACAGGTCTCAAAAGCTCTGGAGAGATGAAAACCTTTTTATAGAACACGTCTGTACTCATTTTATACCTTCTTGTCCAAATGTTGTAATGGGATGTGGACAGTAGAAAGCATTAAGAGGTCACCAATTTTACAATTAAAAGTTAAAATATTTCAGTAATTTATCAGTTAAAAATTATAGTCTGGATCTGTGAATCAGAGGACCTTATTTCAGCTTGAAAATGTACTGAATTACAAGTCGCATATTCCAGTAAAAATAATAAAAATCTTAAAACACAGTGCTTTTCTCTTTTGTATAAGCATTTCTACTTCAGATGAACAATGACAAACTTTGAATAAGTGTATATTACCATTTTTTTTTCCTTTTCTTCTCATCAAAACCTTGTCATGCAAAATACATCTGGTTGATTCAGGTATCTTCCCTGATCCTGAGTGAGGATATATATCCTTTCATGACAGTCACTGACCATTCAACTGCATTTCAGCGAACTCTTTATCCATTTTCTACATTTATAATCAGCTGTATGTGGTCACTGAGCTCTTCCCCTTTGCTCTCTTTCTCAAATTACTTCTCAGATTTCTGGACCATATCTCAGTCTCTCCATAAGAACATCTGTATTTCACTGTCAGCCTTTTCCACATATCACTGGTACCTCTAACCCTTCTATTTCCCTTTTATATCCAATCTCTCACTAAAAATAGCATTACTTTCTCCTCTTTTATCATTAACACCACTTTCTTCTCGCTCTTAAATTATCATGCCAACATTGGGGTTAATCTTGTTTTAGATACATACAGTTATTCTTCACTACACATACATGAAAGTGTCAAAAAATAGTCTGAAACTTCACATTCCAAGTTTGCAAATCCAATCTGTCCGAGCAAATAATAATAATAAAAATAATTACAGTTGAGAACTCCCCAAAGCAAACTTGCAAAAAATGGTAACAGATACAATGATCACTCTTACAAATACCACTTGAAACAGAAAGGATAATTTACAAACAAAAAACCAATTTATAATATCATTCTCCCAGTAAAAAAAATCAAGCTATAATTCTGCTGGATTCTGTATTCTGCCCCCGCAGTCTAACACTGCACTCACCCAGTCCTCGATGTCCAGCGCAGCATTTGGAACTAAATTCAGCCTTGTTACTGAGTTTGTGTTCACATCTCATTCTTGCTGTGAGGGTGATAAAATCTTGGATTCAAGGGCAGGTAAGGAGACTTCTCATATACCCCACAAAAACCCCAAAGTCTGTGCTCCTCCTCAGGACAGATTTACCCATCACCTGCTTTACAGCACTGTGAAGATAGAAGAAATGGGGTTATGGAATCTTTCCTAGAAGTATTATTCCATATTTAAGGATAGATACTATTTGTAAACTCAAATCTTATGGATGTGCTTTTCACCAGCCTA